TGGCTAGCTGGCGAGCAGGCCAACCGAACGAACACAACCGAGTAATTAATTAGTCGCCGTGAATACTTTGCTTAATTAATCCAAGTAGCCAAATACCATCAATCCAATAAATAATCATAACTCTAACAAAATAAATATTCCGCCGATCGCTCACAGCGATCAACAAAACAATCGCTCGATGTACGAGTAACAATATTCAATTGTTACTCGTTACTTTTACACAATAATAAATAACACAAATAATAAATAATATACATAATAAATAGTATATACACTAAATAATACATTAAAAAAATGAGACTATCGAGTGTACGCACGTCAAGTTGGGGTACTTCTTGAAGTGTCTGATGTCCGAGTTGAAGAGCATTAATGCGAACTGCTGCTTGTCTGCGTGATTCAATCGCGACAAATCGAACACCAAACACGGCACGTAGAACAACAACTGAAACACGCCTTCTGCCCTCGCTAATCAATTTCGATCCATCGATCGATCGGCAACCGCCTAACGCATACGCAGCGCATGCAAAATGCGGGGGCGTACCCTGCTGAAGCTATGGGAAGGGGCGTGGTTTAAGAGAAATCTGACAGGGGGCATGGCTTGCTGAAATCATGCGAAGGGGCGTGGTTCAGAGAAATCTGACAGGAGGCGTGGTTTATAGACATTTGGGGCGTGGTTTACAGACATTTGGGGCGTGGCTTGCAGGAATTTCAAGGCGTGGCTTGCAGCCTGCAGGAATTTTTGCCATTAGCCTGCAGGTATTTTTGGCAACTGCTTAACCATCTCAACCATATAATACAATATCAAGAAAAGAGAAACGAATAAACAAATAAATAAATAACCCAATAACCTTTAATTATACATACATAATTAACGAATAAAATCACTAAAAATCAGAAAAATAAACCAAAATACACTAAAAACCACCCCAAACCTGCATATAGAAATCGACGACGAGTCCAATAAACGCGAACGTACAAAACTCTTGTATCTCCGGTATGAACGTAATGTAACCAAACAACAAAAAACACATTTCTAATAGAAAATACTTCGTAAACGAATATCCCTCTTCACTCAGACCGTGCGACACACGCGAGCGTACGTCCATTGTGGGCGGGGTATATACCACTGATCTGTCATTATTATTATTATTATTTATTATTATCATATTTATTATTATTGTTATTTATTATA